GCGAATAAAATAATCATAGAAACCAAAAATAATTAAAATGGGCGTTACAATGATAGCTAAGTCGAAATCGAAGGATTTGTCAACTCTGATTATGAAGGTTGTATGGATTTCAGAAAACCTATTTCTGGATATGTGTTCACTATGTTCGACACAACAATCAGTTTGAAATTGATACTTCATAAGGTTGTTGCCTTATCAACCACTGAAGCAGAATATATTTCATTCATTGCAGCTGTGAAAGAAGCATTATGGCTTGAAGGTTTTTCTAAAGAGCTGAAACTCCATGGTCGAGTTATAACTGTTAAATGTGATAGTCAAAGTACAATAAACCCGTCGAAGAATTCAGCCTATCATGAACGAACCAAGCACATCGATGTGAGGTTGCACTTCGTTAGAGATATAATTAAGTGTGGAGAACTTCAAGTGCTAAAGGTTTCAACTGACGACAATCCTTATGATATGATCACCAAGACAATGTCGAGTAGCAAGTTTTTCCATTGTATGTAGTTTATAAAGTTGTATGATGAAAACTAGTTTGTTCCCTTGTTAGTGTAGAGTTTGTTTCAAGGTGGAGATTTATGGTATTTGGATCAAACTCTAGTGTCGACAAGGGTAGTTTCCTTGTTCGACAGGAGTTGTGAACGCTGAAGTCGAAGTCTGTTCAAGCGTGTTGTTGAAATATGTTAGTTTTGTGTTTAAGTTAACATGTCGAATTGATTCTTACTTGTAAGCACAATTGTTAAGTTAGCTTGTAGCCTAAGTTATCTTAGTAATCTATAGATAGACTACTTCTCTCATGTTGTTAAGAGAGGTTAATTGTTCGTATTTACTTGTAATCTTTGAATCCTTATTGAGTAAGTGAATAGTAAAACAGTTTTAAACATATTCTTATTCTTCTTCTTCCATCTTCTCTATCTTTTGTAAAACCTAATAGAGTTTCTTGTGTTTGTTCAAAAAAATCAATATTTTTTTCATATTTTAATTTGTTCTCGACGACATCAATTCACAACACCATCAAATTTGAACAAAATATATTTTTCACCTAGCAGAGGTGCATCAACCAAATTCATACTTTCAGCAAATTCTATGAATATTATGACTTCGTTTCTTCTTCTAATTTGACTTATACATTTTCTTCCTCTTAAGGACTATACAACATTAAAGTCCCTTAATATGCATTATTCACTCTTCCTTCTATAAAATCCTTCCATATTTTTTCTTTTCCATCGCTACAATACGCGAAATATAAATTTACTATGTAAAACAAACTTTCCTTCCATTCTAAACTAACACCCAAAACCCATCTTTCGAGAAACTAAAATTTAATTCAAATAATTGAGCTTTCCATATAGTAAGTAATTCTCCAAGGAGCCCATCTGGTGGCTTAAAGGCTCGCTTCACATCCTTATTTTCCCATAGATTTTGTTCCTTATAATCTTTAAGGAGTTGTTTTTTTGTTTCTTGAAATAAAAACATATTAAAATTACTTTTTTCGACAAAGTTTGATAGTCTTCTCTTTGAGTTATCCAATCTCTCATGTTAAAATCTGTCAACTTTATAACACAATGTTTGAGATTCATTCCCTGTCTTCCTTGGCTTCTTGGTCTCTTTTTTTTTCTACTTCTTCAATCTTTGTGAGGTTATTTAGTCTTCCTCCATATAATTGATTGTTTCCTTCTTTCTTGGATCATCACCCGCACTCTTTTGAAATCTTAGTATGTTTACAAAGATCGTTTTCCTTCCAATAATGATATTTCTGAGTTTTAGTGCAAATAGTCTAGCATTATTGATACCATATTTCCAACCATGCATCCTTCTTAGTTTGACCTTGGAAATTCATTTTATTTCTTCTCGCCGTTCATTATCTTCGTTTGGTATCTTTCATTACATCCTCTTTATTTTGTCTCCAGGCTCTCTAGTCTCTTTCGTCTCTCGACTCTCTAACATCTCTAATTTGTAAATTCATAATTTGTTACTAAATTTGTAGCACTGAATATATTATTCATTAAAACAAAATAATATCACACATATATTAATTCTTTGCCAAAAAATATATTAAATCAATTCAATTGTTTAATTGAGAAAATAGACATGTCTATAAAATTTAAAAAATTATTTAATATTCTATCACATCAAAAAAAAAAATATATATATATATATATATATATATATATATATATATATATATATATATATATATATATATATATATATATATATATATATATATATATATATATATATATGTATGAGTTGTTGGGCGGACAATGTCTATATTCACACTCATATAATTATCAAAGTTATGATTAAATATTTTTCATTTATACTTATTCATTATATTTTTTTAAATAAAATATCTATTTAAGATATGCATTTAAATTTGTAGATAATTATTCAAATTCAGACTCATGCTCAAAAAAGTGATTATTTATCCTACTTGTTGTGGATGGCTAGTATACTTACTCCATTGCTATCCGTATATATAGACGTATATTGAATAATCTCAATTTTAATTTTGGTCTAACATATCTAATTAATAATTAAACATATTCTATTTATACCTTTATTTATTATTGTTTTCGTTTTAATAAAATATTTATTTAAAAATAAAGATAAATGGTATATATTACATCATACCATATAATTCTTTAATAAAATCTACACTATAAAGTGTTTTCCTTAAGGGTGGTCAATAGTTTGAATGTAATTATAATAAGAATGAAGAGAATATTTATTTTTGTTAATTATTTATATTGGTTTTGAATTCAAAAACAAAAATTACTCTGTTTTCATTTTTTTAACCATATTTACTATTATTTTTTAACATATATTATATATTGATATATAATATCCATTTAAAAAAAATATACTCTGATTAAAAAAAGGATAAAATAGTATAATAGTAAAAAAAACTATAAGAGGAATGTAATATTAAAAGTTTTGTTATTTTTAATATTGTGCATTATTTTATCATTTGAGATGCTTTAATTAATTATTTTGACAACTAAATATTTAGTTTTCATTTGAGATTGTAATGTACATTGTATCTAAGACTATGATATATATTTTTATTGAGTTTACTTAAAATTAACTTATTTTTAATAAAATTAATATTTTTAAATTTTCTATTAAATTTAGAAAGAATATTTTTTAGTGAATAAAATTAACATTATTTGGTAATACATTGTTTGTGGACATTTTAGATTTAATTTACATTCATTTTTTTTATATCAACGATTGAACACCTATTTGTGACCATTTGTGGGGATAGTAATGGGTAGGTTATTATAGTATTCGTCCTCAAATTTGCGTTTAAAAAAATTCTTATACCCGAATTTATACTCGCATGGATATCAACATTTGTATTTGTACATGTACTCTATGGACACCTAAATACCCATATTCATACTCATTTATTCGCATTTCTAATAAAAAACGACCGATCAATTATAATTTATCATATCATTTTAATTTTTTAACAAAATTTAAAAAAAATTGAGAATATTATTGTTGAGTTAAAAAATAAACAAACATTTATATTAAAATGCGTAGAAATTTAATAGTGATGTTTTCAATAAAATTGTTAGATTAACATATGTATATGATAATGAAAATAAAAATATATAAATATATATATCGTGCGGATATTGGGGCGAGTTGGGTACTAAGATACTCATACCCACACGTATACCTGCTTTTTTTAGTGGGTAATTGTTCGTGTTGTCCGTGCTCATGCCTATTTTATGATTTTTTACTCTACCCATTGTAGATAAATTTTACTGAGTATTAAGATACTCATATCCACTAGAGATGAATACAATTGTCATTCTTAACCATTTGCAACCTAATATTCAAATGAAATTTTATTGTGAAAAATTAAAATTTTTAAATAATAACTTAGAGTCAGTTCAAGGGGTAGGCCACCAAGACTACCGCCTAGGCCTCATATTTTTATATTTATATGTTTTTAAATTAATTGACTTTCAAAAAAATAAGTTTTTAAATTATTTTTATTTCCAATTAAATAATAGTATTTATTAAGTATTTATAATAATATTAATGTGTATTATACAATTGATTCATTTAAAATAAAAGTTATTTTGAATTTTTGAAGATTTTTTATAGGTGTTTTATCATTTAAATACGGAAAATAAATAAGATCATATTTTATTACCGTTTAATCATAATCAATAGTTTTGTAGTCCTTTTAAGTCCGCTTTACTGTAAAAAAAAATTGGATTATATGCGGAAGTATTATTTGCACGCTCTTAAAGATGTCATATTAAAAGCCATATGTATAAATAATAAATTTTTATGTTTTTCTATATTTAAAATTTAATTATTTTAAAGAATTTTGATAATATTTTTTCAATTATGATTTTTTTAATGATAAAAAGAGTGTTTTGTTGTGTTAGTTTTATTATCAATTGAAAGAAAACATTAAATAATATTTACTAGAATAATTTAATGATTTTAAACTCTAAAAGATATAAAATTAAAATATATTAATTTAAAATAAAAATAATTTTATTATATTAAAATATTAAAATTAAAATTTCGCCTCAAACCTCTAAATTTGTTTGACGGACCCTGTAATAACTTTGATCTAAGTTTGATATTAACTGAAAATGTTTTCCGCTAAAATAAAAAATTGCAAATAATAACTTTGATGTTACAACACTTTGATATTAACTAAAAACTTTCACCGCTAAAGATAAACACGCGTTAAATATTTATCTGAATATGCATTATCGTTTCAAATTTACTAAATTATAAAAAAGTATTAAAAATAAATTTAACGGTCAGGATGTGTTAATAAAATTCATGCACAATCTCCAAAATACAAATATTTAACATTTTAGAAATTATTTACCTTGTATAGCTTATAGTATTGATAATTCTCCATCTCAATCTCCTTGGATATTTGCATATAAATTGAGACCAAGAGACTATAGTTTCTCATTCAAATTGAGTGAGTGAGTTCATAGAGTTTAGTAGTGATGGCTTTCGTATGGTTCATCTTTGGTGCAATTGCAGGTGCTCTTTTGGTCCTAAGATCTCTCCTCAAGAATGTCAATTGGTTTCTCTATGAATCAAAACTTGGTGACAAGCAATACTCTTTGCCACCAGGTGACATGGGTTGGCCAATAGTTGGGAACATGTGGTCTTTCCTTAGGGCATTCAAGTCCAGTAAACCAGATTCTTTCATGGATTCTATCATCAAAAGGTAGCTATTACATTCTCTTCATGAATACGACTCAATTTTACGGATTTTTTTTAATATATACATGCATTCAAGGTTTTTTTTTTGTTTTTTTCATTGTTTTCTTCCAACACATTTTCCAATTTGAAAACTCCGTGACATGGTTGCGATGTTTTGTCACGATTTTGCCCTACAAATGTATGACATGCAGAAATGCTCGATATTTGGTTTCATGCAGAGTGACAGTTCATTTGAACAATTTATTTATTTTATTATTATTTCTCTATTAATAATCTATTTATTAAAAAAATATTTGTTTCAGGTTTGGAAACACAGGCATATACAAGGTATTCATGTTTGGATTCCCAAGTGTAATTGTGACAACACCAGAAGGATGCAAGAAAGTTCTAACAGATGATGAAAACTTTGAACCTGGTTGGCCACAATCAACAGTCGAATTAATCGGCGAAAAATCGTTCATCAAAATGCCGTTTGAAGAACATAGACGACTCAGGCGTTTAACATCGGCTTCCATCAATGGCTACGAGGCACTTTCGGTGTACTTGAAATATATTGAAGAAATTGTAATTAGTTCATTGGAAAAATGGACTCAAATGGGTGAAATTGAGTTCTTAACTCAAATGAGAAAGCTTACTTTCAAAATTATTATTCATATTTTCCTTGGTTCAGAAAGTGAACCTGTTATGGAAGCTTTGGAAAGAGAGTATACAGTTCTTAACCTTGGTGTTAGAGCTATGAGAATTAATATTCCTGGATTTGCTTTCCATAAGTCACTTAAGGTAAGTGCTTATTTTATAAGTGCTTATTTAAAAGTGATTAATTATACTATATTTCTCTTAACATTACTTTTTTTTGTTACAGGCTAGGAAAAATCTAGTGGCTATATTTCAATCAATTGTGGACAAAAGAAGAGAGGAAAGGAGAGGAAAAGAACCATCACCTGGCAAAAAAGCTAAAGATATGATGGATTCTTTGATAGATGCTGTTGATGAAAATGGAAGAAAATTGGGTGATGATGAAATCATTGATATCATGTTGATGTATTTGAATGCTGGTCATGAATCTTCAGGACATATCACCATGTGGGCTACCTATTTCCTACAAAAGAATCCTGAAATTTTCCGAAAGGCTAAGGTATTATCGAAATCGAAATTCTTAGCATCTATATTTTCAAAATTATGAATCACTTTTGCACTTAAATTTTCTTTTTGATGATATCTTTAATAGGAAGAACAAGTTGAAATGCTTAAGAGAAGGCCTCCATCACAAAAAGGGTTGAAACTAGAGGAAGTTAGAAAAATGGAGTATCTTTCTAAGGTGATTGATGAAACAATGAGAATCGTTACATTCTCGCTTATGGTCTTTCGACAGGCTAGAAAAGATGTCAACGTTAATGGTTAGTACACACTTAAATTATGCAGAATTCATATGAATTTCAATCAATAAAAATTGTGCGATACAAATAAAAGATATTTTGATATTTCAGGTTACCTCATTCCAAAGGGTTGGAGAGTGCTTACATGGTTTAGATCAGTTCACTTTGATTCTGAAATTTATCCTGATCCAAGGGAGTTCAATCCTGAAAACTTCAGTGTAAGTTTCAGTCATTAATTGAATTAAACAACAAATAAGTGATTAATTTCATATATTTGATGATTTTGTTTGTGTTGATTGTTAGGTGGTGCGCAAGGCTTGTGAATTCCTTCCATTTGGAGCAGGAACTAGATTGTGCCCTGGCAATGATCTTGCCAAGCTGGAAATCTCAGTTTTCCTTCACCATTTTCTCCTCAAATACGAGTAAATAATTTTTCATCATTTAAAGTTCTGATTAAAATTATCACAAAAGCACTTTTATAACACTACTAGTTAAATATTAATGTTATGTGTTATCTTTTGCAGGCTTGAACAGCTTAACCCAAAATCTCCGATAAGATTCTTACCACACACAAGGCCATTGGACAACTGTTTGGCAAGGATCAAGAAACAAGCAACTGCATGATTCAAACATGAAGAATAATTTTATTTTCTGCACTTTTTTTTTACGTCTAATAATAATCCAAAGACCTGAAAATTTACAGAAATTGCATTTATCAGACAGGTTTTGTTAGCTGGAGTGTATTGGTTTATCCATTTGCTTGAATGAATAAAAATTGAAGAATTATTTTCTGCCATCTTCTAGTATTATTATATTGATACAAATTTATTATATATCATCATCGACATAAACAAGAATCGCGGTAAAATATTATACAGTATGCACCAGTCCCAACCATCAATCAAACTCAGCACCAGAAATGATTATAACGCTCGAAAATTAAGTTTTATCTTGGCTCAAACCAGACAGTTAATGCTGTATTAGCAGTTCTGTAATGCGAACTGATACCTGCTACAATCCATGCTTTGTTACTGCAACCGAGTTACAAGGCTCCATTAGATCATCATTTGGTTCATTTTGAGTCAAGTGTTTGATCCGCGCTGTCAAATAGACTGCACTGCCCTCCTTCATCTTTAGCTTATTCATTTACTTAAGTGGGATTGTTGTATAGTTAGTTTAATGAGATTATACAGTTAGTTATATTAGTTTATTCACTTATTTTTCTAAACTAATGTACATGTATATATACCTAGCAGCATTCTGCTAAAGCTAATCAATGAAACTGGTGAGCTTTTCACCTTCTTGTAACAAACTCTCCTTCTATTGCTCTCTTGCTTCCATCATCATTCATCAATATGGTTAGTTATTTTTGTTGGATGATTAGAATAAGTCAAATGCAGTGTAATTGTTTTGTTTGTTTGTTTAGTGGTTTGTACACTATAAATAGACCTCAATTGTACTATTAGATAAAATGCTGTTAGATAATGTCATTCAATATTCCCATCTCAAATTTTCTCTATTCTTTCATCATCTTCCTCAATTAACCTTTCTATCACCATAATAACAACTTCCACCATTGATTCACCTTGAACAAGTTTGATCTTGTTCCAACATTTGGCATCAAAATTCTGGTTCTGATCCTATTCCGCTGCAATCATGTCCGTTTCAAACGATAAAATACCCACCAACCTTCCAATTCTTGATTCGAAGAACTACGACAAATGGTGCAAGCAAATGAACGTCTTGTTCGGTTATCAAGATGTGCTTGATGTGATTACCACCGGTGTTACTCCTCTTATTGAAGAGGCTACTGCAGCCCAGCAAGCTACTCACAAAGAAGAGAAGAAGAAAGACTACAAAGCCCTCTTCTTGATACATTCTTGGGTCGATAGTGACAACTTTGAGAAAGTTGGCGATTATGACTCGGCAAAGCAAGTATGGGGAATTCTTGAGAAGGCTTATGCAGGGGCAGACAAAGCGATGGTTGTGAGGTTACAAACTCACAAACGTCAATTCGAGTTACTTCAAATGGAAGAAAAGGAAACGGTCAACGATTATGTGACGCGTGTTACACGTTTGGTGAATCAAATGAAGTCTTGCGGTGAAGCTGTTTCATAGCAGAATATTGTATCGAAAGTGTTGCGTTCTTTAACACCTAGATTCGATAACATTGTGGTTGCGATTGAAGAATCAAAGGACATCAAGAATATGACCAAAGATTAGCTGCAAAGTTCATTGGAAGCTCATGAACAAAGGTTGGATGAAAAAGGAAACGATAAGGCGAAAGCGGAAGTGGTTTTGCAAGCTCGTTTAAATGAAAAGAACAAGAGATCGAAAGGGAAATGGTCTTCTAGAAGTAAGAAGAATTTCCAGAATTTTGATGGAAAAGATCCACAAAATTCAAAAGGGATAAAGGGTGAAGGAAGCTCCAAAGAGGGTAATCAAAGCGCCTACAAACCACTCTACAAAAGTTCCATGAAGTGTTATAATTGTCAAAGGTTTGGGCATTTTTCAAGAGAATGTCGCTCAAAATGCAAGGAAAATGATGCGGATGAGGCTAAGATAGCTAGGCAAGACACGGATGATGAAAATACGTTTCTTGTGGTGATTACGAAGGAGAATAATGGCATTGACAGCAGTAGAAAGTTGCTGGATAGCAACTGTTGCAGTACCGGAAAAGTGCAGAAAACGCAATCGGAAAAAAACGCATTGGTAACGGTTCGAGATGGAGTTCAAGGTAGTGATGAGTGGTACTTGGATTCTGGTTGTTCAACTCATATGACGGGTAGAAAGGATTGGTTCGTGAAGATCAATCAAGCCACGCGAAGTAGAGTGAGATTCGCGGATAACACGACTTTAGTGGCCGATGGTGTCGGTGATGTTTTGATCATGAGAAGGGATGATGGTCATTCCTTGATTAAAGATGTATTGTATATTCCTGGAATTAAATGTAATCTTTTAAGTATTGGCCAATTGCTTGAAAAGAATTACACGGTTTGCATGGAAAACAAGGTTTTGCGTGTTTTGGACCAAAACGGTGTTTTGATCCTTAAGGCTCCCATGGATGCCAATAGAACTTTCAAGATTGAGTTGAAAGTTATGGAGCATAGGTGCCTAGCTACTGCTGCAAGTCGTGAAGAATGGTTATGGCATTACCGTCTCGGGCATCTCAACTTTTGAGACCTCGACGCGTTACATAGGCACGGTATGGTGCCCGGGCTGCCATGGATTAATATTCCAGCTAAAATATATGATGAGTGTGTGCAAGGGAAGCAACACAAGAGTAATTTCAGTAAGGATGCGGGTCATAGGACCAAGCATCACCTTGAGGTGGTGTATTCCGATGTATGCGGACCAATGCAAGTCAATTCGTATGGAGGCAACTGATACTTCGTCACGTTTATTGATGATTTTAGTAGGAAGCTATGGATTTATCTCATTAGGAGGAAAGATGAGGTGTTTGAAGTGTTCAAACGGTTCAAATCCATGGTTGAGCGACAAAGAGGTCACAAACTCAAAATTCTCAAAACTGACGGTGGAGGCGAATTTACTTCGGGTGAATTTAGGAGTTATTGTGATGACGAGGGTATAGTACGTGAGGTTGTACCACCTTATACGCCTCAGCAAAATGGTGTTGCCGAGAGAAAAAATCGGACGATTATGAACATGGTGCGTAGCATGTTGAAAGCAAAGAATTTACCAAAAGAGCTTTGGGGTGAAGTCGTCTCTACTGCCGCCTATTTGCTGAATAGGTGTCCTACAAAGAAGCTTGAAAAGGTTACTCCAGAAGAGGTATGGTCCGGATTCAAACAAAGTTTGAGTCATTTGCGTGTTTTTGGTTCGGTAGCGTTTTGACATATTTTGGGTCAACTTCGAAAGAAGTTAGATGACAAGGGTGAAAAAATGTTGCTTGTTGGTTATCATCCTACCGGAGGCTACAAGTTGTTCGATATGAATAGCAAGAAGATAGTGATTAGTCGAGACGTGATCGTGGATGAAATTCGGACTTTTGACAGCAGAATTTCTGCTATACCAGTCCAGGAAATTGATTCCCAGAAAGGGGAAATCGATTTTCAGCCCTGTCACACCCTCATTTTCACCTTTAGCCTTTGTACCCTACATTCACCATATCATACATCGTTCTATTGCATATCAAGCATGCGGGTTCACAAGGTACGGATTGGATTGGTTTGTTATTTTCCATTTTTAAATGAGGTAAATTTCCTATCATGGAATACATGGAAGAAAAGGTTCATCACCTAAGATTTGATCTAAGTTGGAAAGTCTACTCATGTAGATTACTTCAAGAAGAAGTTACTTGGAAAATATTGGGATATTCAAGATAAATACTCCTATTGAACATGAAATGCAAGGCCTAATTCAAGATTGATTCATCCAACTTTATTTTAAATTCTTGATCAAGTGGCGTTCAAATTTGCAAAGCATGAGTCAAGATCACAAGTCCATAATTCAAGACTTCATCCATTTCAAGTTTAATGGTGTTAGGGAAACCCATCATGAATTCAAGATTGGAGGCAAGAATATTACAAAGAGAAATTTCATGACATTGCAAGAATGTCATTTGTTACAAAATTTACAACTTTAAGTAATGTTTAGAAATTGATCTATTTCTAATCCTCATTCAAGTCCCTAATCAAATCCATGATATGGTACCCTTCATGCCCAATAAGTTTACATGTCCAATATTATGTTTGCAAACATGCCAAGGAAAATACTTAAGAGTTAAATCAACATTGTGATATTTCAAGACCAAGATTATGCATGGGCAATATGAAGGTAATCCAAAACAGCCCCATGCAAGAAGTAACAAGTTGCCTCATGTCACAAAATATGCATGTCACAAGACCAAGGAAATAAACCCACAATGATGCATTTACACACTAAATATCAGATTTTTCAAAATGTTGTCAAAAGAGTAGTAACATTGATCACAAGAGCTGTCAAAGCCCAAGCGAACAAAAGGGGTGCAAGATACAAAGTGCAGCAGAAAAAAAAAGACAATAATGTAGAGTAGTGCATCAAAAATACAACATAGGAGCTTGCATGAAAATGGAAAGAAAGAGAGTGACATGAGAAAAGGTGGTAAGAGACATTACCCCATGAAAAAATCTGATATGTGGGAAGAAGAGAAAACCCTAGAGTGGAGAGATAAGAAGGAGGGGGCTGTAAACAAAAAGGGGATTCATTATTCATTACACATTCCACACACATTGCAAAAACCAGAAAATAGAGAGAGCAAGAGAAACCCTAAAAAACCAGAAAAATAGAAAGGAAGAAAAACCAGAAAAAAGAGAGTGACATAGAAGCACAAGAGGACCATTGAGAAGCAGAACCTTCACAACATAGAGTGAAGAGTGGAGAGCACATCCAACAAAAATCAGTGGAGGACTTGCAAGAAGGATAGAAAGCTCTTGGGTATCCATTTCATCAAACCTTTCTCTCTTTACTTTTTGCTTTTATATTCATTTTACTTCCTCTTTTATGTGTTTTTGTACTGAGTATATCATGTAAGGTTCTAAGGGGACCAAGAAACCATTTTTAAGAACCATAAAAACGAAAGATAAACAAGAAAAAGTTGATTTTTTTCACCCAAGCCTCCTGAC